ACAATAGCGAAAATTGCGATTTTACTGGTTACTTTTTTATTTTTCGTTGATCTTTCATCCAATTTGCATCAAACTTAACAATTGGTTTATATATGTGTATCATCTTTTACATCCCTGGTAGAATACTGACAAACTGAATTTCAAAAACTCCAAAATAATTATGGTCTGAAGTGAGTTTTCCTGTTGCCTGTTTTACCACTTCATGTCTTCGGCTAACTTCGATTGAATAAATACAGACTTATTTTCTTATATCAGTAACTGCATTAATTCAACATGTTTTTTTTTAATAAAAGTACTTTAAATTAATGGAAGAAGATAGAGTCTATTACATCTAAACATGATGCTGTTTTTACTCCATTTTAATTGAACACTTTTTCTGATCAACCAGCTGTGTGTGGCTGCTAGTATATTTTTATGTTCATGTAATACAAGGCAGGAGATTCAGAGAGTTTCACTGTACAGTTATTATCGATAGATACGATTAAAGGGAAGTGGCACAACACAGACAATAGTAAATTTCATAAAAAAGGTGTATAATTTGTTGGCGTATAAATATACAACGGCACCCTCACCCAGCACGCCACAAAATGGCCAATGACTACCGCACGCTGCATTTCCATTCTCGAGCGAAAGATGAAAACAAACACTACAGCAAGAAAATTATGTTTATTCAGAAATTCAATTGTTCAGTATTGTTCGGTAGGTATGTATTACTTGGGACATTTTATGCTATGTCGGTCTAATAGATTAGTACATTCCACCGACCCTTACTCTTACCAAATGTTTGCCTATCTCAACGTCACGACGTGTAGCAGGTAATACAAACGGACAGTGTCAAAACTACCCAGGGGCCAATGATGGACCAAAGCAGACGACTCCAATGCCGTGTCTGTTTAAATAGGCCATAAATCGGATATCAACATAGGAGTCGGTCCCACAAAGCATCGATTAGTGACAAGAAGCTAAATCTTACACCTCAACAATGAAATACGTATGTACCCTACAATTTGCGTGACATGGCCTGTCTTAGCCGTTAATGTTACAAATGGTGGAACTAAGGAAAACTTTCCATGGAAATAGCAATAGAGTAGCGATAAGCTCGCGATGTTTCCTTTGTGGGAAGGACGTTGTACGGTGGAAAATAATTTCCGACGGGCTAGGTGGGAACAAATATAGATCCAAAGAATAGTCGAGGGCGAAATAGCAACAATAATACATTATTCACGCGGAAATGTAAAAGCCGTCCTAGTTTTGTTGGATAACCCAAATTGTTTGCCAGGGAATTTCTAGTACCACCAAGATGGCGATAATCAACAACAATATAAAATGAAATTACACAAATAATTCGAATATTTCCTCTCTACTCAGACGGTGTTTTAGGGAAAAACTGTATCGTTTCTTATCCGCTGAATTTCTTGGAAGATTCCAACCAAGAGTTGCATAATGACACATCCCAAAATAATATATCACTTTTAAAATTAACATTACGACAAAAAGTGGCAAAACTGCTACAGAACACAGAACAGTATTGCTATCATTTGATTAGTGGCATCCATATTATGACAATAAAAAAATTATATTATGTATATATGAACAGAAATAATATAATTCGTTTTTTGAAAAAAAATTGTAAGAATCTCGCTGATTCTAGATCCTGTGAGATGATTTTCTCGAAGAACAGGTCCTGAACCTCGTTAGAGTGTCTAAGGAAATTAATCATGAAGGAAAGGAAAATAAATTGAAAGATATACGAAGAGTGTGACTCCTAATCTATGGGATATATGTCAGTAGTTTGAGCTTATTAAACAGGGTTAGAAATACTGAATGAACTCGTTAAAACTCCTAAGCAGGATTGTAAGATCGGGATAATCGAGGAATAGTTGAAGATGGCTAGAGCGTCGAAGAGAGTATTAGAGACTTGAGCCTGAAAGTCATTAGAAACCCCTCCCCGCCTCCTGTAAACTTGCAAAGCATTAAAAAAAAATATCACCGACAAATTGTTGTATGTGTAATGTATAAATAGTGACGAATGAATGAAAGGACATAATAGAGATTATGTCTTTAAAAACGTAGAATACAAAGAAAACAAAATCAAAAAGATATGAACACACATCCAACACGGAACAACTTTGAATAATGCTCGGTTGTCAATAAAATGCCATTCATAATCAACACACACAGATATACATACATACACACACCCACACATACACACACACACACACACACACACACACACATATATATATATATATATATATATATATATATATATATATATATATATATATATATATATATATTTACGTTTGTATGTATGTATATTTTGTTTCTATGAAACACGTTTGTAATTGAGCCCAAACCACACAACCAACATCAATCAAGCCTCAATTTGAACGATGCCTGAGAATATAGCGAAAGCATGGTCGTGGGTATTTTTGAAAAGTAATAGGTTTGATGAAATTAGCTGAAAGAGACCCATAATAAAATTAGTCCCGGCAATTCGTCGGCTGACTGTCGTTAAGTCCAATTAAAATATGGATAACGTAAGTCAATTAACGACTACTTTAATCGAATATATCTGCATGAACGGCACTTTGAATTAATTAAGCAAATCCCTAATGAAATCAAACTTGAGGCAGGGGAGTTGAGTACGCGTCAGAAAGAGAGTCAAGGAAGGGGAGTTAAGCAGTAGACAACATGAACAAATGACAAGGGAAAATAATGGCGACGGATAAGAGTTACGCCCCAAAAATGATATGTAGACTACGACAGTTTGGGAAAGAAGAAAAAAAAATGAATGTATAAATTATCGAAAATAGAGAAAGAAGAAAGAAAGGACGAGTAACTTGATAAATAGGAAGACGAAATAAAACGCTAAAATTAGGATTCAAAAATAAAGTAGAAAAATATTTCATTTAAATGAAAAAGAATAAAAAAAAAGAGCAAACAATTACAAGATATGAAAATAAATATGTAGTGGTAATGAGAGTAATAGCCGTTGCCTTATAAGGAAACAACCGGCATTGATTGACCAGGCTTGTACTACTGGCGACTGTAATTTAGAAAATCGTCCTTCTAAAGGAATTTTTCAGCGAAATTGGTTTCTAAAATCAAGTAGGTCATCACACTTTCCAGTATTGATAAGGATTTTCTTCCTAACATTTTTGATGTCGTGTGAAATGTCAACATATTGATTATGTTATTATTTTCTTTTCGTGTTACATGTGATAGACATTTTAGTTGGTACTGCTGTTTAAAATACTATGCGAAAAAAAACACATATAAATAAAATATATCTTTAAAGACAATATGAATAATATATATATATATATATATATATTATAATACGCTCATATATATATATAATATATAATACACGCATATATATATATTATATGTATATATTACAAGTATATATATATATATATATATATATATATATATATATATGTATATATATATATATATATATATATATAAACATTTATATTATATATATATATAATACAAGCATATATTTATATAGATAGATAGATACCAGTATATTACGATAATAAAAAGAAAACTAAAAATTTTCCTATTGTTATTGCATATATATATATATATATATATATATATATATATATATGGTTGTAACGTAGTTAGTGAATAGAATAATCACACGAAGGTGGATAATGAACAATAATACTTAGGAGAAAAAAAAGTCAAGTGAATTCCACAATGATTCTCCAACTGCGGAATATCTGCCAACCGACCCACGTGGTCAGATGTGGCACAAGGCCGAATTTAATGTGGGGTATCCGAGACCGTAGGCCAAAAATTCCCAGTATAAAACGGGATCGGGTAGGTTTTTCCTGAGACGAGACTCTGCTCTTCGACATAGTCACGTCTGGGCACCCTCTCTGCCCGGTGCCAGAGATTTTGACCAGCATAGCCAGAGACGAATCTCCAATCTCCAACTGCAGACCAACATAAAGTATTTACTACTCTATTTATGTGAATGGGGACATACCCATATATATATATATATATATATATATATATATATATATATATATATATATATATATATATATATATATATATCCTTCTGTGTTTGTGTAAGTGTGTTTGTGTGTGTCAACATTTCAGAAAGACAATATCTGTGAAAAGACAATTTGAAAAAATAGACAATTTGAAAAAAAAGACAAAAGGAAAAATGATCTTAACCAAGGCATTTCATCCTCTGAAGGACTTCATCAAAGCAGACAGTACAAAAAGCATCGGCTAAGATAAGTTTTCATTTTGTCTTTCATCATCTATCAAATAATATGTCTAATGGAAAAATAATATTTTAGTGAAATAAATTATTATAAAGGTACCTTAAAGCGGTATGTTTTCTTTATATATAATGAGGGCGAGCAAGAGAAGTGAGGCATATGTTTTGTTATATATATATATATATATATATATATATATATATATATATATATATATATATATATATATATATATATATGTCTCACTTATGCATATATAAAGAGGGCGAGAAAGAGAAGTGTATGATATGTTTTGATAGATATATATAGAGAAATAGATATGAAAAAGCATATATAGCACGAGGGCTAGACTGGTAAATAATCAAGAAAATGACATCGTGATATACTATGGTGCATATCAGACTAATTGATATGTAATGAATACATAATATTAGAAGGAAAGAAATAATGCCATAAATAAACGAAATTATACAAGAGATCGACTAGAAAATTAAAGAATGTAGTAAATTAATATGAAGAATGCAAAAGTAATGATAAATGTAAAAGAAACCTGATAAAGAAAGGACAAAGCCAGAAAACATTGCTGTAGAATCACCACTGGAATAGAACTGAAGTCGAAATATTAACATGAAATACATAAGGAAGTGAAATATTAAAGCAAAAGAAAGAAAAGAGTACAGAGTTCTGAAGTTCAGAGCTTGGAAATGCAATAAAAATATATGTGAACAGACAGAGAATCTAAAAAGAAAGAGTAATGAGGAATTGGAAAAACCACATAAGAAAGAAAGAAAGAAAGAAAGAAAGAAAGAAAGAAAGGAACAAACAAATAAACAAAGGAAGGAAGGAAAGATTTAGTAAGAATGTATATTTAAGGGAGTTGGATAAAACTGTGAGATTGCAGTTGGATACACATTTTAAGAATAAAAGAATTTCAATCCGTGAAACTGAATTATGATAAACAGACGCAAACATACTGAGTCTTTTCTTAAAAAAATATTTATAAGAAATAAACCTAAAAGATAAAACTAGATTACAAAAGAAGAACAAGCAAAAAAAAAAAACCCCAAAAAACCCAAAATACAATGACCACTGAGAAGAAAAGAGAGAGAATTAGAAAGAATTTAAAATAATCAAAATGAAGAAGAGAATCGAGCTTACAACACAAGCAGACAAAAGGTAATTATTGACTCCAGACTCGAGACATTTTACGCATGCGCCGAATTCTTATGTTAACTCGTTTGATATTTATTATATTCAACGGTTTTCTTTTTGCCTCAGTTTCCATTTTCTTTACTTTTCTTTTTATTTTCAGCTTGTTGTCAATAGACGAATTACCCTGTCCTTACAAATTAACCCTTTTGAGTATATGGGACCCAGGCCCGGCAGTTTGCCTCTGTTTACATGTCGTTTGGTAGTCAAGAGCTATTAAAGGCGGACCGATCAATACTAGAAGCGACATTTCGTATCGACAGCTTTTATTTTTCTCTCATTTTGACTTTCCTTTATACATGTTTTTCTTTGATTTTCTTTTTATTGTTCGTCTGTCTTTGTATTTCTACCTCGATTCTTTCAGTGGGAAGTCGCAGTGAATGCGGATGTCGGAGTAATTGTGATTTCATCATGGATTTCAGATGAAAAAAACAAAACACTTCTAATAATCAATGATAGGATTATCTATTAATCGCTTTTTCTATGTGTATATATTTAACTCCAACTATTCTCGCTATGGTACACACTCACATATCTATCTATCTATCTATCTATGTATATGTGTGCATGGGCATGTATGTATATGTATGTGGAAAGTCTGTGTATATGAATATAGGGGGATATATTTATATATTTATATATATGTGTGTGCGTGTGTATGTATGTATGTATGTATATGTATATATGTAGGTGTAATTATATGTGCGGTACTTATTAGAAAGCGCTCAGTATCAGAGATAGAGCTAACTATTGAATCAGATATATGTATATATATATGTATGTGTGTGTGTATGTATGTGTATGTGTGTATTTGTGTGGATATGTGGATATATGTGTATGTGTGTACATGGGTACACGCCTATGTGTATGTATATACGTGTATATGTTAGTGTGTATGTGTGTTTCTGCATGTGTTTTTGAACATAAAAATATAGGTCCTTGCTCGATAAGATAATCGTTATATTTATTTTTATATGTTTATATTTGATTTGTAACCTGTAGTCGATATTAATTTTGTCAATTTTTCTCAATTACATAGCGGCCCTTTTAGTAAATGTCCTTCAATGTTAGTTTCCCCCGCTCCATCTCTCACCACCTCTTCTTTCCTTTTCTCTCCCTCCCTCTTATTCTGATCTTTAACATTAGATCGTCTATGGTGTGTGCATGTCACCACGAAATGTATCTTTAATGTATTAGAGATCCGACAACATTCATATTTCTCCCTTCCACTCACCTCTAATTAAAAAAAACCTCTCTGTTAAGATTTAATCTCCCACCTTCTCTCGTCTGTTACCCCTCTCTTTAACATTCGTCCCACTCTCTGTAAATTCTATTTTTATTTCCGGAGTTGTTTTTTCTGTTTTCTTTTTGAATTTGTAGGTCTGATGAATTGGATTCCAATGGAATAAATTATGACCATGGAATATTAGTGTTTAATTAGTGTGTAAGTCTTTTTATATATATATATATATATATATATATATATATATATATATATATATATATATATATATATATGAATCTAATAATGGAAGATTTGTCAGAAAGGAGTCTTCCTGATGTTATTGGACTGGATGGAGTTCGATCGCAGCGTGAGGCACCTTTGTAAAGTGCCTGAAAACCATACCAGGTGTTGACCCAAGCGTAGACAGATCTCTTGTGTGCCGCCGATAACTATGCTAGCACAAAGCCACAAGTCACCGTGGCCGAGGGCTTGAACATGCTGCTGGCCTTGTTAAAATTGTTGATCACGCAAAGATAATGCGCTCTCTCCCAGAAACTGTAACTAAGGCCTGCTCAGCATAGTTGCATTATAAAACACAGCTGGGCTCTGTGAGTGCAAAATTAACCCAAATGCGTCTGAGGCGTATCCTCGAGTGACCAGCTATTATATATATATATATATATATATATATATATATATATATATATAAAAGACATGTTTTGTTGTATAGTCTAGACATGTTATGGCAACTTATTTTCGATAAGATCATTTCATATTCGTGGATAAGATTTTTGGTGTCATTACTGGAAAACGAGAGAAAATAGCCGTGTTGATACATACTTCATTTATTTCCAAGTATATTTTGATATATCTATCTCACTCATCATCAAGTTATATTTTATTAAAAAAAAATATTGCAGTATTCATTATTGTCTTGTCCGAGACAAATTGTTGATATCTGAAAGGTAAATTTCTTATAAATGGAGTGAAGAACGGTGCGTCAGTGCGTGACCGCTGAAATCGTTTAAAGGGAGGTAACTATCTATGACTTAGAGAGTTATTTTGCGTAATGACTATTATATATATGACATGAGCAATGATATAATTTTTTGTCTTTTTTTACTCATGTTGCTTGATTACTTTTGGCTATGAATGTAGGAAATAAATTTGATGCATCTTTCTTTTTTAATATTATTTGGGGGAATTTTCTTATATATTTGCAACTTAAGTTTCGTAAGAAAATGAAATATCCGAGATGACACACGAAAATCTGTGCATGCACACGTAAAGCACGCACCAACACCCCTGACACGTTATATGCCATAATTATATATATATATAATATATATATATATATATATATATATATATATATGTGTGTGTGTGTGTGTGTGTGTGTGTGCGTGTGTGCGAGTGTGTGTGGGTGTTAATGATCAGACTTTAATCAGAGCAGGGAACAGTAGTATTAAAAAGAGAAGTGCTTAATAGGCGTGAGAATAAAATATATGTAAAAATAAATATATCATGTAGGGGTTTAATTTTAAACCTCAGGAGGTTAATTATAATACGCGACCCATATTTGTTCATTTTAAAAGTATCGACCGATGAGATCGTTCGGTTGAAACCATTTTCGCGTATATTAATTGACCTCCTGATTTTTAATATATTATGTTAATAGTTTATTAATATATATTTTAATATATATATATATATATATATATATATATATATATATATATATATATATATATATATATATAAAACCAATAATTTTATTCCACTCACCGCATTAAATGAAACGCAAGTGTAATTTTTAAAGCAAACGTCTTATAAGTCAAATATCCACATTGAATATAGAACTATACGTAAGCCATTGGTTCTAAATTGAAACTTATAGATTTAGTAGTATACAAGATTTGTCAGCAAAATATTTATGTTATTATTCTGAGGAAAGACAAAAGAATTTTGATTATTAAATTTTATTTTTTATTCATTTTACAACCTTCAGAATTTTGGCTAATTTCTTTTTTTTTTCCTCAACGAATGACCATAAATTATATGGGGAATTTTAGCGTATGTTTGAAAAGAAAAACACATTGATTTTAAATTCTTGCAAAAATCAGATAATTTTCAGATTTTAAGGAAACATGAGTTATTCACAATTATGATATTTCAAAATATTCATTTTTGTACTTCTTAATATTTATATTAATATTTAAATACTATTTTTTTTTTAGGTCAAACGGTTACGGAAAATCTGCTCTAAATCGTAAAATAAAAAAACAAAACAAACATCAATAAAACTAAGAGAGTATATAATGAGAAAAGATTTTAATTGCTTTTATGCATAACATGGTATGATTAATTTTGCCTCAAGAAAATATATATTTTGATGAATAATGAGTTTTTACAATAATCATTTTTTTTTTTTGATTTTGATTATAATAATTTATAAAATACTATATCTATTAAAATGAGCAGGACACATGAAAAATAAATGGTAGTGCAGAAATACATCCCACATATATCTCCCAGAAATACTTCTTTTAAAATGACATATTAATATGTGGCGTTTAGCTAATATTGCTATGAACATTATATTTACTAATCATAATTGGAAAGTCTTACTCGAATTAAGCGACCCCAGTGTTTTGTTTCGTCAATTCGCCGAATTTCGTAAATCCAAACGTCTATACACGACAATATATGAAAAAAAACAACGGTAACTATAGTAAAGTTAAAATTTATTGGTAATTTTATAAGATCTTCTAAACAAATATTTACTTAAGTAAGTTTATAGACGCAAAGAAGCAAAAATTCAATAAAAAATTAGATTACTTATAATATTTTCCTAAATTTTAAAGATTACTTGACAGATAAAATAATATATTTAAAAAAGTCGTTTCCATTGTATTCATCATGCAATTTTTGCAGTTATGTTCTGTTTAGATAAAAATGCCAATCATTGAGCTATCGATAAAGTCATCAATATCTTCATAAAAAAAACAATTTGATTTCCTGCAATATTTTAAACTAAAAGTAATATGTGTTTTAATTAAGATAATTAAAATTTAAACAAGATAATATTCCTCAAATAAAGTTTCAGAAAAGTAAATTTTATTTTTTAATAAAAATTTGATTGAGTCGTTTTAATAGATTTATCAATATGGCCGATTATATCGAGTTAAAAATATCATCGCAATCAATTTATATTTGGTTTTAAATGCAGCCGAGTATTTTACTTATTGGAAATATTATATTTTATCTGTTAGCTTAGAATTAAAACTAAAATATAAGCTTCAAGACTGAGATTTTATTTTGAAAAAAATTGGCATTTTAAAACATAGGTATCTTTTTCTTGGAAATATATAAATGGGAATCAACAAACCGAGTTCGAATTTTTTTCTAAGGCTGTTGCTATTCACTTCATAGCATGGCCTTAACGCATGAAATCATATAAATTATTTCTATTTTATCGATAGGTATATTTAAATATATATCGGTGAGGTCATACCAAAAAAATTGAAATTCTAATCTCTGATTGGGATTTATTTAAATTTTCGAATTGTATGTTGAGCACGAATGATTTCAGAATCTGTTCAAAGTAAACTGTATAATTTACAATATGTTAAAACAATTTGTGGTTTTATTACTTCGAGCGAGAATGCTTTATCTGCTTGTTTTAAAATTAAACATTTGGAATTCTAGCTTTTACCACATACATCAGTCGTCTATGTAACAATTCATGCGTTAAGTAGATGTTTGTAAATGGAAAAGAAATAGAGGGGGAGAGGAGGAGAGAGAGAGAGGAGACTAGAGAAATACATAGTTTAAATATTCTAATTTAATAAGGACAAAATGCTGAGGCATGCAAGTTGAAGACAAGAATGTATATAGAATAACAACTACATGCTAATGACTTCGGTTCTATGTTTTAATAAAACATTCAACATCGTAGAACATAGCGATATATATATATATATATATATATATATATATATATATATATATATATATATATATATATATATATATATATATATAAAATAAAAAGGAACTGGTTAGTTAAATAATCCAAAGTCCCTTAGTATTTTAGTTATTATTTTTAAAAATTAGTGCTCGATACAAAAGTAGAGCATAAATATAATTATTTATTTAAAAATATGATTCCAAAACATTACATAAGAAGTCTCATGTTTCAAAACAAGAGCCGAAAACTTCAATATAATTATTTAAATTAAATTGAGTTATAATAAGCTCTGTTCCATCTTCAAGCGAAATTTTGATTCCAAAAAAAAAAAAAAATTCGCTTGAAGATTGAACAGAGCTTATTTTAACTCAATTTATATATATATAGTATATATGTGCAGTTTTCACAAATGATGAAATAATGGATTTGAAAGAATGTGCTGTGATGCCCTCAACAAAATTTTAATTTTAATTGTAAACTACTACGAAAATAACAACAAAAAATTTTAACATAGAACAAAATTATTGGTCCTCTTGCATCAATAATAAATTGTGTAAGATTTATTCTTGATTATTGACTTTAATAATTTTTTATATTTACTTAGACAATCACTACACCATCCGATAAGTATTTTGCACCATTCTTCATCTAGTTCCTCCAAATTCGAAGGAGTCTTTTCTTTGACATTTTTCTTCAAATATTCCCATAAATTTTCAATGGGATTTAGTTAAGGGTTTTTTGCGGGGTAGGACAATAACTTAATTTTAATGTTAATTAAGTATTTTGTCACTATTTGTACGGTATGGTCAGGCCAGTGTCGATTCAAAGACAGCTTTGCTGTACATTGTTTTATATTATTTTTAAGAACAGTAAATACTGCACTTTATCCATGATACCATTTACACTCGCTAGTTTTCCCGGTCCAGAAACAGGAAAACATCCCCTGAACGGAATATTCCTCGATCCATTCCGATAAGATTAGGAAGTTTCCTTCCCTTCCTGACAAATCGACCATGGTGAGATTTGAATCTGTCTCATGGTGAGAAAGAGAACGTCCTAACCACTCGTCCACGCGCCCATAATATATATATATATATATATATATATATATATGTGTGTGTGTGTGTGTGTGTGTGTGTGTGTGTGTGTGTGTGTAATATATATATATATATGCTGTGATAAAAAATTAAAATTAAATTATATTACTAATAAAATAATACATATTATGAAAATAAAATAAGTTAAAATAATATAAATGATATATATATATATATATATATATATATATATATATATATATATATATATATATATATATATTACATCCCTTCCTTCATATATATATATATATATATATATATATATATATATATATATATATCCTAATACAGTACTGATACCTATGTCCGGAGAGTGTGCGACAGAAATATTTCCCTGATATACCTCCCAAATAATGGTATGACAATAAGAAGTATTTCTGGGAGGTGTATGTGGGATGTATTTCTGCACCACCTTTTATTATTCATTTATTTTTATCCCACAAATATAGCACAATTAAAGATCACACATGCACACACGCGCGCACGCACACACACACGTGTGTGTGTGTGTGTGTGTGTGTGTGTGTGTCTGTACCTGTGTGTGTGTGTGTTAAATGTTTGATTTACTAGACTACGCAGGTATATCTCTCTGTATAATATACCTGAGTAATATGCAGCAGCGTATGTCGTGTTAAGAATTTATAATATAAAATAAGCATCTATAAATCAAATCGAGACTATTTCGAAGAATAAGTTATGAAGTATTTCCTCATAGCTTTGCATATATAATCATATTAAAACTTATACACAGATATGTAGTGCGTAAATATATTACCATACTGAAATATGCATTTTTTTCTACTTCTTTTGTTGTCGTCTGCACTGGCATATTTTTTTAATGACTAAGTCTGCTTCCTAAGAAATTATTAAAGACAGCCCATTTAATTTAAAACAAAATTAACTTAAGGAAAACAATTCTAAAGCTGAACCCAATTTTCAGTCTTGGAGTGATAAGGAAAGAATTTCACAAAATTAAATTGGAAATGAGAACTAGATTGTGGAGAGCAGAAGTTGGTTTACGCGAGATTTAACGAGACCGTCCATCAAAGAACGAGATATAATCTCTGACATACAACAAACCTAATCGAATATTGAGAGAAAACAATAGAAGAATAAAAAAGGCGATGAAATCTCGTAATGAATTAGGTTGCGGCTGGAGGTTGAAATTATCAGCAGTAAAATGATTAACATGAAACTCGAACAAATGAGTGAAACTATGAACAGTGATCAGTTTGGAAAGAAAGAAAGAAAGAAAGAAAGAAAGAAAGAAAGAAAGAAAGAAAGAAATTAAAAAGAAAGAAAAGAAGGAAGGAATACAGGAAAGTAAGAAAGAAAAAGAAAAGGAAAGAAGTGGATACTGAAGGAAGGAAAAAAAGGAGGGAAAACGAAACAAATGAAAAAACATAGAAAATTACCAAATAAATAAATAAATAAATAAATAAAGAAAGAAAGAAAGAAAGAAAGAAAGAATGAATGAAATGAAATGAAAGAGGAAAGGAAATAGAGTAAGAAATATAAGAAATGAAAATAGAGTGGATGGAAAGAAAAATATAGAATGTAAGAAAGAAAGAAATGAAGGAAGGAAGCAAGTAAGGAAGGAAAGAAATGAAGAAAGAAAGGAATGTAGGATAGCAGAAAGGAAGAAAGGAATGAAATAAAGAAAGAAAGGCAGAACGAAAGTAAAAAAGAAAGAAATGACAGAAAGAAAGGAAAGGAATGAAAGGAAAGGAAAAGAACTAACGAAGGAATGAAAGAAAAAAAAACGGAAGAAAGAAAGAATATTTAAAATTAAAACGATGTAAAAATGAGAAATGTATGGAAGTACGAAGGCTCTAAATTAAAGAGGACAATTAAAAAATGAAATGATAAGAGAAAGAAAAGAAAAAGATAGAAAAAAAATTTAAAAAAATAACAAAGGAAAGAGAATTTTGATAGTGAAAATGAGAGTGAAAGGAACGCAATAAATAATGAAATTAACACAGTCCAATAACGCAATATGTATTATAAAGAAAGAAAGAACATTTTCGAAAAATTTCCAAGATTAAAGAATTAAATCAATCAACACAATGATGTAAAAATTAAAAAAGGAAAAACAACGAAAAAGTTAATGAAAGAAATAAACATATAGAAACAGAAAGAAAAGAAATAGAAACTAATATTAAAAATTTAATATTTCTTTTCCAAAAAGAGGTCATTGAAGCTTTCAAATCACGATAAAAAGAATAAGAATGGATTAGCAAATTGGAATCGAATACACACAATTCTCAACAGTAAGCTACGCTGTCACCTGAACGCTCGTACGAACAATATAAAATATATTTACTATCCCTTAGATTATTCTGGCTTGAAACAACTAACTCTTCATTAGCACTCTGCATAATTCATAAAGATTACTTGCTATATATGGAATCCATCAAAATATAGTGACTGATATATCAGTTTTATATATTTAAAATTGCAGCAAACTGGCTATCAATTTCAGTCAAGATTTTTTTAGCTGTTGACATAAAAGAATATGACTACACAAACAAGAAATTCAAATTTAACATTGACAGGATTAGAATTTTGCTTGGCGATTGTAGTCACATACAGAGTGCTAAATGTAAAGGCCAAATGACGATAAGTCTTAATTGCACTGACTTGCTTCACTCACTTCAAATCACTATTAATACCGGAATTTAAATGTATTACATATTTTATGTTTACATATAACTTACCGAACAATTCTCTTATAAATGGAACGATATTTTTCTATATTTCTGTGATAGGATATTTACACTAATTACATTGTTCGGACGGCTCTCCTATTCGTTGTCATTTTCAAGACCGTTGTACGCTCAAGCCTTTTTAAAGATATTTGGGATTTTGACCGGAATTTTTTTATTTGTTCTAGTTCCACGTCCCATGCCTCATCCGGATATCTCAGTTTTAGCTGTTTCCCTTTAGTAATTCAACGCTCAAAGTTTGGTTCACCTCTGGTGGCATTGGAGTCAACTCTTCAAGTCACTCGATTACTTCAACCAAAACTTTTATTCACTCGGGTATGTGTCCAAACTTCGTGAATATGCCTACAAAGATAAGGACAATAATCCGAAACATGTGAATAGTGTAACATAGAACGATGTTTAATTTTCTCATTTTCAAATCCTTTCTTGTAAGAGTTGTTATTTTGTTGATGATACCTGTGGTATATATAGCAGAGTATAGTACAGCTGGCCCCTCGTATTCGAGGATACCCGTCTACTAGACAATCCCTATTGCAGACGTTTGCTCAGGCGCATTTGTGTTTATTAAACACCAACAGAGCCCATTCTGTTACAGAGCCCATTATACTGCAAGTGCTAAGCAGTTACAATTTCTGGGAAAGAGCGTGTTAGCTAGCGTGATCAACAATTTGAACAAGGCCAACATCTCGGCCACGATGACGTTGTCCTAGAACAGTTATCGAAGACTCCGTTCCTCTCACAAGGTTTGGGTCAACCTTTTAAAAGGTGCAGCACGCTGTGATCGACCCTTTCAGTCCGATAACATCAGGAAGTCTCCTTTCTTATAAATCGACCATGGTTTGATTCGAACCCGGGTCTCATTATCAGAATACGATCGGTCTAACCACATATCATAACTGTATAACGTAGTATTAAATGTTTGAACTAGGGTGAATATATTTAAATTTTTATAGTTGCTGAAAACCATACAATCTGCCTTCTTACAATTAAAAAAAGTGCAAAAATATATATTCTAAAATCTAACATTTTATAAAAGTGCCTATTGAAAACGTAGTCGTGTTTGTGTCGCAACGGTTATCTGCGTGCGAAATGGAATCGGCACGCCGAGTTAAAGTTCCAGCCTCCTTTCGAAAATGCGTGATTCTCCGTTTTCTTCCTTTACTTAAGTCTAACATAGTAATGTTTCTTGGGTTCTATGCTTTAAGTTAACTAATCAATAAAAAAGTGGAATTTAAATTGAGAACCTTGGGTAAAAAAAACAGAATCCATGCATTTGTTTTTTTAAGAATTCAAAGCTTCTCACGAATATTAAAAGAAAGGGCACGGTAGGTATCTGTGATCCCCTACATCATAGAGGAGCATGGTATAAAATGAAGGAAAACTTGACACCTTGCAATGAAGTAGTTAACAGCCAATTAATCTTGCAGACGATTATTACTAATGTGAGCTCGATTCACGGTACTGCCCTTACGCTAGTAGCTTTGTATCTGATGAATTTAAACGCAGGGAAAAGCGATAGGAAAGGACACCAGAGAGAGAAAAAGAGAGTGTGTGAGAAAGAGAGAGAGGGGAGAGAGAGAGGGAGAAAGAGAATCAGTTGTATGTGTTGTATTTTGTTCAGAAAATCCTAGGCACGACACTTGCATTTATAATTATAGCGTTTTGCGAATTCTATCTAAATTCTCTATGTGTGGCTATGTATGATTGTAAGTGTGTTTGAGAGAGAATATGTGAGAGAGAAAGATATAGAGACAAAGACTGATTGAGAGAGAGGGAGAAATCCACTTGTTTAGCGGAAACTGTCACTGTGGAGGCCACATGATGAAACATTTTGCGCGAACCCTAAACAGTCAGTTTTATATACGCCTGAATCACATGTTTTTATATGAAACATTAGTAAATATCTTGATAGGATTCAAAACAAAAGCGATGTATCATGGTTTCATTAAACTAAATCTTGTTACAAAGCTGGATATGGCCTTTGGGTCGTAATTTTGTGACCCATATTAATTTTAGGGTATCACTAATTCATGATTAATATATTTTAGTCCAAAATTTTGCAGCACCCCACTCAGGTTTGATCATTTCTAAGTTTCATACGTTCTTTTGTTTAATTATGACTCAGCAAAATGCTGAAAATATTTAGCCCATCAATTTATGGCGTGCGATTTTTAGAGAGCAGGTTTTCTAAAATGTCCAATACGCCAACCGTAATATTACAGTTAACCTGCAAATAAATTATGCAATAAGAGGGAAAATTTATAATTGTATACATTAATGCGCGAATTTCGTTTTTGTTATTGATATTATTATTATTATTATTATTTTCTTTGATTTCTGGCGTTTACGCATTTCTTTCCTGGTCCCGCCCAGGGACCTAAGGTTAGAAATGGCGTCATGACACTTTCCACTGACAAAAAAAAAAAATTAAATTACATAGATAAAGCCCTTCGTAAGGTGTGGGCTGTACTTGTCAGAACAATTTTTTGTATCTCCTTGAGGCATGGACTTCCGGGGATGCCTTCAATTAGTCTACTGCAATCTTTTCCAACCAGTCCTAGGTCTCCAACTACAACAGGGATTGTTGATGTACCCATATGCCACATTTTCGAGATTTCTATTTCAAGGTCCTTGTATTTTGACAACTTTTTGAATATCTTCAAAGATACATTGCAGTCAGCAGAGAATGCCATGTCAATAAGGAGATACCGTTTTTGTTTGTGGTCTTTAATAACAATATCTGGCCGATTGGCCTTGATTGTTCTGTCAGTGTGTATTGTGTAGTCCTATAGAATTGTAACAGGTCCTATCTCCGTAACCGGGTCTGGGTGGTGTTCATACCAGTTTCTTTCAGTTTCCTTCCCGTAGAAGTTGCAGATTTTCCAGTGCAGATATTGGCCCACTCTTTCATGTCGGGTTTTATATTCAGTGGGTGCCAACACCGTGCAACCTGATACAAGATGATCAATCGTTTCTGTATACTTATCACAGAATCTGCATTTTGGGCTGACACAATATTTTAGTATATGTGCTTGATAATTCCTAGTTAGCAAGCATTGGTCCTGCGCAGCAAAGATAAAACCTTCAGTTTCCGCTTTCAACCCTGCACTACGTAGCCACTGATGGGTACGGGTTTTGTCTACGTCAGCTTGTTTGGTACGGGCAGAGTATTGACCATGAAGCGGTTTATCTTGCCATCGCTTCTGTATCTGGTCGGTTGCATTCGTCTTTGCTGTCTTTTTAAGGTATTTTGCAGTTTCAGCCGGTGTATTGTGCTGTAGTTGCATCTCTACGCCCATTTGAAACTCCATTTTGAATTTGTTGGCTTCTTTCATTACGGAGTAGAGACGCTTACTACTTTCATGTTCCTTGACGCATACCATCATCCAGTCTTCTGTAGTTTCCAAATGTCTATGGAGGCCAATTTTTGTAGTTTGTAGGACAGTTCTAGTTGAACTAATCCTCTGCCTCCTTCGGATCGGGGCACATATAGACGATCAACATTAGCTTTGGGATGATGCATGCGACAGCAAGTGAGAAGCTTTCTCGTTTTGGCGTCCATTCGCTTAATTTCATCTATGGTCCAGTTAAGGACATAAAAGCTGTATGGCACCACAGGGACAGCCAATGTGTTTATGACTGATATCCTGTTTTTTGAGTTTAGCTCAGTATTTAGTACCAGACGTACACGCCTGTAGTACTCTTTTCTTATTTTTTCCTTCATTTGGGGGTGTTGTATGCCATCTCCTTCGCTAATTTCTAGGTACTTATAAGCTTCATCATGTTCCAGTTCCCTAATCTTTGTAAATCTATTAAGGGTGTTTCTGTAATTCTACCTTTCTTAAAAGTTACTTTTATTATTATTATTCCTTTCATTTCTGTTGTATACACATTTCCTTCCGGGACGCAGCCAGAGACCTAAGGTCAGAAAGGACAACATGACTTTTCCAATGATCATTTTTGTAAAATATGAAACAAAAAGCAAAAAAAATAAATAAACTCAGATCACACACATTTTACATAGATAAAGCTCCTCGTAATACGTGTGCTCTACTTGCGAGTATAATATTTTTGTATTTCATTAAGGCATGGGCTACCAAGAATCCATTCATTGACTCTATCGTACATTTTCCAATTAAGTCAAGGGTTCTAACTACAATTATTATTATTATTATTATTATTTCCTTTGATTTCTGGCGTGTACACATATCTTTACGCATGCCGCCCAGAGACCTAAGGTTAGAAATGCCATCATGACACTTTCCACTAGCAAAAAAAAAAACAAAAAAAAAAAAACATAAAACAAAAAAAATCATATTTTGCATCGATACAGTCATTCGTAACGTGTGGGCTCTACTTTTGAGAATAATTCGTTGTATTTCATTGAGGCATGGTCTTCCAGGAATCCCTTCAATTAGGATACTGGAATCTTTTCCAAACAATCCTTGGGCTCCAACTACATAGTTTGATTGTTGATGATCCCCTGTGCCATATATTTTAGATTTCGATTTCAAGGTCCTTGTATTTTGACAGCTTTTAGAATATCTTCAAAGATACATTTCAGCCTGCAGAGACTGCCATATCAATAAGGAGACACTTTTTTAGTTTTTGGTCTTTAATAACAATGTCTGGGCCGTTAGCTTTGATTTATTATTATTATTATTATTATTATTATTATTATTATTGTATGTTAAATGTTCTGTTTTGTATCCAGTAGAGCCGGTTTCAAATTATGGTCCTTAAGCACTATAGGAGAATTGTCATTTAATTGATAGCACATTTCTTAGTATATGTGATGGCAATTTATATGTTGATGTTATATATGACACTGTTCGTTAAATTGCTCATTCCTTTTCTCACGAGGCCCAGAGCTCTGATTACTCTTGGTATAGTCTCATTCTTCACTCACCACATCCAGTTAATGTCGATCTCCAGGTCCTTGCATTTGGACAGTTTCTCGATAAATTTTATGGGGGTGTTTCTCTCAGATTGTACTGCTATGTCAATAAGCATATACTCCCTGGATTTCTTATTTGCTAAATATCAGGTCCATTGGCTTTTATTTCCAGGCCAGTTTTAATAGGCATGTCTCAGAGGATAGTTACATTGATATTTTGGGTAACTGTATCTGGTTGATGGCCATACAATCTCTCAGTGGTTTCGATTTTGTGCTTCTTGCATATCGTCCTGCGCAAATATGTCTCTACCTTGTTATGTATGTGAGTATATTCATTTCTTCCCAGTTCCGGACATCCTGGGATAATATGGGCGAAAGTTTCATCATATTTTCCACAGACCGAGTTAGTTCCATCCTTGATTATGTGTCAATGATAGGATCTGATTTCGAGGTTATTTTTTTCCCGAGTTGGAATAATTCGGCCTTCTGTCTCAGTTTTCAACGCAGTTCTCCTCAGCCACTGATGTCATTTCTGCTCATCCACATCCTCCTCTTTTGTTCTTTTTATGTATTTGCCATGCAACGCCATGCCGTTCTTCTAATATTATTATTATTATTTATATGTTAATTTCGTTATTATTATTATTATTCTCGAATAAAAGTAAAAAAAAAAGAAATTTGCTCTCATCCGAAATGAGTTACGAGATTAGATTCGAAAAAGTCAAGGAACCGTCAATTTTTAGGCTGTCTTTCGAAATCTAGAGTGTGGATTATATTACATTTATAATGATAAAGAAAAAGTAGCAAGCAAATAAAGTTTATATATATGTATGTATTTTTATTTTGAACACACACACACACACACACACACACATATATATATATATATATATATATATATATATATATATATATATATATATACATATATATATATGACATATCAACGCATTTTTCTATAAGATTCAGTTGCTGATTGTGTTTTTTACGTGTGTTTACGTTAAAATTGAATATATGCAACAATGAAATGCATTGCATTATTTGATTCTCTTTTAGTTGTCGAAAGAAAATAAAACAGCTAAATTGCCTGTGCCGTTTATGGAGATTGTACCATAGCGTGCGTTTTGTTCGAAAGTGGATTAAAAGTGGACATTTTCATATGGAAAGCAAGGACGTTCTAACAGACATGCAGTCGTTGGTGATGACCAAATCGAAATGCTGATTTCAAATAAACCCAATCATCCGACACGGTACTTCGCATATATTTTCTGCGTATAGCAAAGGAGTGCTGTAAAGCATTTAAATGCATTTGATACATGAATCACTAATGTTTGGGTCCCTCACGATTTAAAGAGACATGTTTAACATACCGCAATTCCATTCGTCCACACTCGTAGAACATCACCCTTTGTTTGAGACATATGATTACAAGTGATGAAAATTGATTATTTTTACACACAAAAATAACTGGAAAACTAAATGAGCCACTGAGAAAATATTGAGAAGTTGCAATTGCATCAGGACAAGATGATACTGAGTATTTGCTTGGTTAATAAAGGCATGAGTATTCCTCAAAATTAGTGGTTGTACTCAGACAATTATCTTTCCCAGTTAGTACAATTAAATGCAGCCATCGATGAAGACGTTGGGAACTGCCTAATCGGAAGGATATCGTTTTCCATCAGTAAAACGCCAGGCCTTACCCCTCTTTTCATACGAAGCAGAAATTGGTGGAGCTTAGCTGGAATGTCTTACTTTATCTAATGTACACAGTTTAACCTGCACTTTCACATTACTACTTATTTCGATGTGGAGATTTTTTTCTGGCAACCTGTAAAAAAAACAACAGTTAGTCAATTTACGAATGATTTTTTTTCCAAGTTCTTGAAGAATGGAATCATGAATTTGCTTCAAATTTTGAGAAATGTAAAACAACAACATTCTTGAATAAATATATTTACAACTATATAAATAATAGAAATCCATTAAAATAGTAAGAAATATACTCCCGACCCAATATTTGCATCTACTGACAAGATGAAAGTCTCTTTTGGATTAATATTATATTTTCTGTTTTTCCTTAACTTATATTTTATTTAAAGTTATACCAATTTACTTTTACTTAATTAATTTCGACATATATAATAACAATCACAATTAAATAACGTGGGGCCCAATTTTGGGTTTTTTTAAGACTGAAAGCACCCACCGAAAAGGTTACAGACATAACTCTCTGAAGATGATGCATTAAGCATATTCTAAGCTCTCATGGTAGTTACTCCATTATGTTTTCTATTCACAATTAATATTTTAATAACTAGTGGCATAAACCTTGCACTTGAGATGAAATATTAAATATGTATTTCTTAATTCTATGATTATGTCGAAATAATACTTATATATATATATTTTCTGGGACAGAATTTGAAGGAAATCTTTCCCTGACCTGGTCGTGTTTGTAAAAACAGACATTCTGTTTTGGGAACAATAATTAAACATTGGAATGGTGATATGTGGATGTTCCAGTAGAAATGAATGAAGGGAAAAGGATACTGGAAAAAGAAAGGGGAAACAGGAAAGTTAGAGGATAAGGAAATATTGGAAGGTCTGAATAGAGTAAGGGAACGATGGAAAAGGGGACAAATAATGAATTGAATACAAATCAAGCAAGTATAATCAAAAGAATCAAAAGGGACACTTTATGTGAATATATAGAATGGAACGGATGTACTTTGGATCAAGGATGCTGAATAAGCAAAGAATGAAATGACAAAACACAGAGAAAACGAACAACAATGGAATGGAGATTGATCTGAAGTAAAGACGCGACAGACAGTTGGGGGAAATGAGCGAAAATCGAGTAATGAAAAGAAAGAAAAAATGGGAGAAAAAATGAAAGAAAATATGAAAGATAGAAAGAAAGGAAAAGAAAGCAAGAAAGAAAGAAAAAAAGAACGAAAGGAAAAGAAAGAGAGAAAGAAAAAGAAATAACGAAAAGAAAAGAAAGAAAGAAAGAAAAAGAAAAAACGAAAGGAAAAGAAAGAATTGTCTATGATATTTAAATTTAGTGTTAGGAACGGAAATACAAATGAATAAATAATGAATCTCCGAATGTTAATACAAACTAGAATGAAGAAAAAGAAAGAAAATTTTAAAAGCAACAAACGAATTACTGAATTGGGATGAAAAAAGTGTCAAAAATGATTTAAAAAGAAAGAAAGAAAGAAAAAAGAACGAAAACTAGAATGAAAGAACAAAGCAAATAAGAAAGGAAAAGAAAATATGATGAAATGAGTAAGAAAAAGGAAAATTTAAAACAAAGAAAAAAATGAAAAATAAGAAAAAAGTTTTGAAGAGAGAGCGGAAAAAATGCAAATAAATGGGAACAAAAGATAATTAATGGAAAGTTCGTATCTGAATGTGGCGACAGAATGAAAAAGAAAGAAAGAAATGAGGAAAGTAAGAATATAGCGGCACGAAAGAAAGAAAAACTTCATATGAACTTGTGTGAAAAAGAGTAAAAGCATACTCGAAATGCTAAAAAACAAATGATTTGAAGAAAAAATATATATTAAGAAAACATGAATAAACAATATGCATAAGAAACATATGAATAAGAAATGTACGAAGAAAAATGAGAAAAAGGAAACATATGAAGAAAAAATAAAAATAAAAGTATATGAAGAAAAAGAGCAAAAGTACATGAAAAACAAAAAAAAAAAAACGAAAAAACTAGAGAAAAAAGATATGCATGAAAAGAAAAAAAAATCTTTGTTTAAAAATAATAAAATCTAAAAAAAAAGTTCCTTTAGATAAAGCAGGAAAAAATACTTACAAGATGTAAAAATAAATTACCGGTAAAGATTTAGAAAAAAAAACAAAACAAGAAAGACAGAGAGTAAAAAAGAATACATTTAGATATTGGTTTAAAAAAGTAAAACTTTTCCTTCTGTAAAGAATATGAGGTTGAATTGATTACTCAAAAAAAAAAAATAAATAAATAAATAAAGAAGAGATACGTAAAACTTTGGGAAGCTACAGAGAAAGAAATGAGAATTGGAAAAATCAGCAATGTAAAATAATATAAACCGAACAGGGATCACTGTTTGCCCAAATGGACAAGGTTTGTGATGAATGCACGCATTCGCTATCACGGCCATTGCCTTTTTCTATAGACGCTACATAAGTGTCTTTCTTCTTATTTCTTGTTCCGATGTACGTGTCTTTAAATTCATGTCTGCGTGACCTGCTTAGGAACGAGGACGACGACCGATTGTGAATACAAAAAAAAAAAATCTTCATATGTATATTTGGCATGAATTCTGGTTTCTCTTCATTGCTTTTCTTGGAAGTAATCATGATAATTTATTTCATCTTTGAGTGAATCGGTCAGGGAGATGTATTCAATCCGACAAATGTAAACTATAAACAATTTTCTTTCTCATTCATTTCTTTCTGTCATGCAGCAGCTTTGCCTTTCTGTCTTCCCTCATTCTGTCTGTCTGTCTGTCTATCTGTCTATCTATGTAATTTAACTATGCATCAGTCTTCTTATCTATCTATCTATCTATCTATCTATCTATCTATCTATCTATGTATCTCTTTTAACTATATATCAGTCCGTTTATAAAACGGGATAGATAGATAGATAGATAGATAGATAAGAGGACTGATATATAGTTAAAAGAGATAGATAGATAGATAGATAGAACAGAGGACTGATATATAGTTAAAAGTGATAGATAGATAGATAGATAGATAGATAGATAGATAGATATACTATCAATCTATCACTTTTAACTATATATCATTCTTATCTATCTATCTATCTATCTATCTATCTTTTTTAACTATATATCAGTCCTCTTCTGTCTGTCTATCTATCTATCTATCTATCTATCTATCTATCTATCTCAGTTTTTTAATTACCTATCACAGCCCTCTGCTATATTTCTATGTAGCTAGCTCTAACTAGCTAGCTTGCTAAGTAAATTGGGTGCTACATACTGGATTCTTAATTATAGTCTAAAAATAATGGTTGTGTGTCTTTTTTCGACTAATTTGTTAACTTCGAATAAGTAGGCTTTCTCTCCTGAATAGTTTTAATCTATAATAATAATAATATTAATAAACACATTTCTGCATTAATTTTCTATCTTCCCTCCATATCTATCTATCTATCTATCTATCTATCTATCTATCTATCTATCTATCACAGCGCTCTCTTATCTAGCTAGCTTGCTAGCTAGTTAGTTTCGTTCCACATACTGGATTACGGAAAATACCTTGCTGCATAGGACTAATGTTTGTCAACTAGAAATTGTTAAGCACACACACTAAAAAATTTTGTTAGTCCAAAATGCATATTTACTGCTAAATATCCAGAAATAATTGACCACCTTCTATTATGCTGCAATTTATTGGCATTCACTGAATAAAAACATGGCATGACAGAGTGGGCCAATATCTGCACTGGAAAATCTACAACTTCTACGGAATGGAAACTGAAGGAAATTGGTTTAGACACCACACATACCCGGTTACGGAGATAGGAACTGTTACAATTTTATGGGACTACACAATAGACACAGACAGAACAATCAAATCTAATCGCCCAGAAATTTTTACTGGAGACCGCAAGCAAAAAAAAATAAATAAATAAATGACTATTTGTTGATATGGCAGTCCCTGAAGATTGTAATGTATCTTTGAAGATCTTCAAAAAACTATCAACATACAAGGACCTTGAAATAGAAACCTCAAAAATGTGGTATATGGGAACATCAACAATATCTATTGCAGTTGGACCCCTTGCTTTGATTGGAAAACATTCCAATAGACTCATAGATGTGATTCCTTGTAGCTCATGCTTAAAGAAATGCAAACAGTTCTTCTCACGATTAAAATCTCCACCTTACGAAGGGCTATGTAAAATATGTGTTTTTTTTGTTTTGATTTTAAAATTGCTCGATGGAAAATGTCATGATGGCATTTCTGACCTTAGGTCTCTAGACGAGACCCGGAAATAACTGAGTACACACCAAATATCAAAGGAAATAAAATAATAATAAAACACAAGTCTTAATTTTTTTAACTGATTCGGAGAGAGCATTGGATAGTTAAAACTCTTATTACTGACTAGACTAGCCGTGACCCGTTCGGTCACTGATGCTTCAGTTTATAAAACATTGAAGTTGATTTTTCAATACCAAAAGAAAAAAAGAAGGGAAAAGAAGGAAATTATCTCTTTGAAGGAAGTTGAAATAAAAATAAATACCATAAAAGCAACTCGTATTTTTTTTAATCTTATTCATTTATTTATTATTTTTTTTAAATGAGATTAACATAAAAGTATATTTTAATATGCCAAAAATTATTTTAAAATCATATTCACTGGAATTTTTTTAAAAATATATCAAAAAATATATATTGTTTTTTTTTTGTTTTAATATTTAAATTATTGTTTGCATGATTTCAGCTTTCATTAAAAAATCACAGAGAGATGGAAAGAGTGAGGAAGAGAGAGAGAGAGTGAGAGGTGGATATAGGGAGGTGAGTAGAAAATTAAATCATTATGCGCGCGACGGCCGGCGAATGCACGATTCGCACACTTTTAGTATTATAGAGATAGATAGATAGATAGATAGATAGATAGATAGATAGATAGATAGATAAAAGTAAGAAGAAAGAGAAACAATGAGGAATGCAAGAGTAGCCGTGGTGGTGGTGGTGGTGGTGGTGGTGGTGGTGGTGGTGTTGATAATAACTTCTCAATTATTATGTTCGTTTGCTATTCATTTATTAGTAATTTATATACAATATTTATTTTATAATCTATAAAATACAATGACTTATAATAAAATTTTCTTTAAATATTATTAGTAACTATATATTAAATTTATTTATGAGTGAAACATAGTTGTGTATTAACAAAATTAGGGCGGTTTGAACGTAGTTTCATATTATTCAACATAAGAGAGAAAAAAAAAGAATATTCCGTTTAAAATATATGTTCTGAAATGTTATGTCGGAGTCAGGTTAAATACAACGTTTCGACTTGGGATTTAAACGCTTATAAACGAAGATTTTACCGTTGTTGTTCATAATAGAAATAGTAAAACATATATTTTTTTTTTTTAAATTTAAAAAATATATGATTAAATAAATAAATAAAATAATTAAATAAAAATAGCCGGAGGAAGCCTGGTCCTCTGAACATGATGGCCCACCATGGTATAGATATGGTCTGGCGCTCACGAACGAGCGCCCACGTCTGGGTAAAGACGAACTGACGATAATGCGGACACAATGAAATATATTGATAAACCACGAGGAACCTGACTGGGATCGAAAAGTCTGCAATTGGAATACACTCTACCCAACGAGTACTAGAGGAAAACTACGCCGAGGACTGTCCTTACAGAGGCCCTTTATATTCATTAAAAGAAAATCCCACAAATATAACAATAAATAAATGTCCTAGAGAAGACTATATTGATGTAATGATGGTGTTTTACATCGCTACGATAAATCCAACAATGATCAAATCTGCCTATAATATCAAGCGAGAAAAGTACCCCTCAAACAGGCTAACAAACTAACCAATGTCAGGTATGACATCATCAGAAAAAAAGAATACATGAAACAAAACTCGAAAGCATCCGAAAAAAAGACAACCTAAATAGACTGAACGTTAATTTCGAGGGTCTGAATGCCAACAACCCAAAGGAGACACATACAGAAGAACAATTAGAAACCAGTTGTAATAATTCCTCTGAGGTACACGAGCAAATAGAGGATGATAATGAAGAATATGAGAGAAATATACATGACAAAAAATAAAACATCCGATATAAATGGGAGAATGTAAAGGGAATGTCTTTCGAGGAAACGCAGACAATTCCAAATGTAAGACAGAACCCTCAAGTGAAGGAAACCATCAACTTTGCTAACCAAGCAATTAAAAAATAAGGGACAAAATGGAAAGACAGATGAACCTGACAGAAATTAATCATCTTATATACGCAACCTCTGTAACGATCACAGAAACAATAGGTAAAAAAGTAAAAACCCAACGTAAACGAAAGAGAAAAATGTCAGTCTGAAAAGAAAAAAGTAGAAACCGAAATGAATAAACTACGAGGACAAGTGTCACATCTAAGTGAAGTAGACAAGGTCTCTAAAATGAACGAAAGAAAGAAAAAGGCGACAACTGAAACGAAGCCTTGACATAAAGTATAAGACTAATCTACTAAAATTTAAAGAGAAGCTGAAACAATAAATTCAAGCAAAGGCACACAGATAATCAGACGTCGTGAAAAAAGAAACAGATTCTTCTGGCAACAAAAGATCTTCAAAGATGATGACAAGAAAATATATCGAGAACAGGAAAAAAAAATAAAACAGAAATAAATGACCACCTAATATCCAAGAAGTCGAGAAGTTCTGGTGTAAGATGTGGAAAAACTGCAAAATGCACAATGAAAGAGCTAGATGGATCAAACAGCAACAAGAACAACACAAACGTATAGAATGCCAAAAGTGGACAGATATCAGTATTACTGAGTCAACCGCTTCCATCTGCAAAACCAAAAACTGGAAAGCACCAAGAATAGACAGAATAGCTATTTCTTTTAAAAGAAAAAAACTATCTAGCACCCAAGAAACCTCGCACGGGCTTACAATGATATAATCATAAACCAAGAAAATTGCCCGAAAGAGCTCACATAGGGAGTAACATACCAACTCCCCAAAACTGAAGTGACGCAGACCCCGAAGAACTATGGACCTATCACAAACCAATAAACAAATATACAAGATACTCATTTTTGTCATAATTGACAAGAAATAAAACTTCCTTGAGAGAAAAACAATTTAATCCAAGAAGAAATGAAAAGATGTAAAACACTAAGGTATGAGTGTAAGGACAAGTTAATTATCAATAAAACAATATTTGAAGAGATGAAAACAAAGAAATTTATTGGCAGCATGGATCAACTACAGAAAGTCGTTTGACACACACACGTGAATAAAGAAGATCCAAAAAATAAACAGAATATGCTCCACGAGGGTCCAATTCATAAATGAAAGCATGAAAAACTGGAAGATTCCACTAAATATAAACCACAAAAACATCGAAGCCAATCAATATCAAAAGTGGGATCTTCCAAGGAGATTCATTATCAACACTACTCTTCTTTCTTGCATTAGCGCCACTCAGTTGTCTACTGAACAAAAGTAGCCACGGATACAAGACATAGAATGGCAAA